CACTAATTGTATGTCTATATATGTTATTATATGCTAAATAGGATCCGTTTGTGCTCGGGACTTCACATGGCATACTTAACATCCTATATCGATCTTTCATTCGAATCACTCACATCAGGTGAGTTCATACCCCTACAAATACACTTTTAAATGCCTTTAAATGCTTTGGGAGGGGGGATACAAGTAAAACACAATACTAATGTGTTAACCATTTACGTGTGAAAACAGTAAACAAAAGGATTTCTTATACTCAAAAACTTGTTAAAACTCTTTTAAACTATTTTAAACTTCTTTTATATCAAAATCATATTAGTTTATTTATTTACGTATAAGTATGCTTTAGCGGACTTAGGACTACTGCTAAATACCTTGACTCTTGTTCCTTGTTTGGTTGTGGGCTTAGGGTAGGATCACTAGTTCGACTGTTGGCAAAATCATAGTTATGCTCATTAAATACATATATAAATATTAAACCCATTTTTAAGGATGATACTTAACTTAGTTGCTTATGTTGAGTAATTGAGTCTTTTCTACAAATCAGAAACAGTCAAACAATCATGCTAATAAACTATAATAGGTATAGTTTAGAGGATTACTACTTACTATTTCTAGAACAGTGAAACATACATGAGTCAGTTCATTCATACTATAACTAGAACAGTAAGGAACATACATACTATAACTAGAACAGGAAGGAACATACATACTATAACTAGAACAGGAAGGAACATACATACTATAACAAGAACAAAAAAGAACATATATACTATAACAAGAACAGAACAACTAGAATGTGAAACACTATTTCATTGCATAGCAATATACTTGTTGTGTCACGTTTTGTAACCAGAGTCTCCTGGGAAGAGTACGTGAGTTTGTGTATAGATCTATACGGGATTGACCATCCTACACCTTGCTGCTAGCTACAGTGGGACCTGCAGGTCTACGGGTGACAAATTTCATACCATTTTCGACGCCTGAAGAACGTCGTGTTTTATACTAGTCAGTCAAGCATGGCTATAACCTAATCACATTTTTACCTTAACTGAACTAATTGGTTTTAAGGTAGTTAGTGCTTCAGTAGGGTATTTTTACACCACACTATTGTACATCTTCATTTTCCATTCATTCATACGTGATATCCTCATATTGAGGAACGCAAACTATTTTTCTAGTAAAGATAGTCATAAACTTGGAAAAACGTACATTTTACAAAAGAAAAAGCATACAAAACAGTTGAGTCTTGGTAGAAGACTACTTTTCATTTAAGTGGAAAATATAGGATTTTCTGGAAAGATGCAAACATATTTACTTTACATATACAAACCTTTTCGTGAAACTAACGCAAACATTTGACACAAAAATACTTATGAACTCACCAGCTTAAATGTTGATCTACTCTTTCAAAATAACTTGTATTCTCAGGTCACCAGTAGACAGGTACAGATGACCAGGTTTTTGAGAAGAAGGAGCATATTCAAGACTCGTCTTTATTTTGATTACATATTTTTGGTGTCTTACAACTTTACTCAGAATACACTTGTATTAACTATATTATTAATGCAATGGATGATGTTGTTGCTTGTTTTACTATTGTGCATTATTATGATACTGTACATGACGTCCTCCGCCCCTGAACGTTTCCGCCATTTTGGTTTGGGGGTGTGACACTTAGAGGTTATATTCACTAAATTCATGCCAATATGTTGAATATATTGTCATTTAGGACTTGATTTTGTCCCAGGAGCTAACTAGTGAAACATTTATCCTATATCGAACTCCAAATCGAATCACTCACACAAGGTGAGTTCATACCCCTACAAATTACAGCGTTATATGCTTTTAAATGCTTTTTATGCTTTTTAAATGCTTTTTAAATGCTTTAAGGGGGAGAATACAAGTAGAACACGATATAATTGTGTTAAACACTTACATGTGAAAACATCAAACGAAAGGATTTCTTATACTCAAATACTTGTTAAAGCCATTTTAAAACTATTCTTAGATTTTTGTTTTTATCAAATTCATATTCGTGTATCTATTTACGTATAAATATGCTTTAAAGGACTTAGGACTATTTCTAAATACCTTGACTCATGTTCCTTGTTTGGTTGTGGGCTTGGGGTAGGATCACTAGTCCGACTGTCGGCTAAATCATAGTTATACTCATTGAATACATACATGAATATTAAACTCATTTTTAAGGAACATACTAACTCGGTTGCTTATGTTGAACAATTGAGTCTTTTCCTACAAATCGGTAACAGTTCAAACGAACATACTAGTAAACTATAATAGGTATAGTTTAGAGGATCACTACATACTATTTCTCGAATCAGAGAAACATACATGAGTCAGTACATACATACTATAACAAGAACAAGAAGGAACATACATACTATTACTATTCATTTACAAGAACAAGAAGGAACATACATACTATAACAAGAACAAGAAGGAACATACATACTATTACTATTCATTTACAAGAACAAGAAGGAACATACATACTATAACAAGAACAAGATAACAAAAATGTGAGATACTATATCATGGCATAGCAATTTCCTTGCTATGTCACGTTCTATAACCAGAGTCTCTTGTAGGGAGAGCGTGAGTTTGTGTATAGGTCTATACAGGATTGATAATCCTACACCTTGCTGCTAGCTACAGTAGGACCTGCAAGTCTACGGGTGACAAATGTCATAACTTGTTCGACGCCTAAAGAACGTCGTGTTTCACACTAGTCAATCAAGCATGGTTATAACTTTATCACATTTTAACCTTAAAATTAACCAGTTTAGTTACGAGGTAGTTAATGCATCAGTAGTGTATTTTATACAATATTACTGTAAATCTTCATTTTCCATTACATTCATACAATGATATTCTCACACGAGAAATGCATACTATTTTTAGAATAAAAATAGTTTTACAAATATGGAAAACATTACATTATACTATTTCAATTACAAACTTACATTTTACACTTTATTCAAGAGAACAGAGCATACAAAACAGTTGAGTCTTGGTAGAAGACTACTTTTCATTTTAGTAGAAAATATAGGATTTTCTAGGAAGTATACAAACATTTTCATTAAACAATTACAAACATTTTCATGAAATAAATACAAACATTTGACACAAAAATACTTATGCACTCACAGAACTTTTATGTTGATACTCTCTTTCAAAATAACTTGTATTCTCAGGTCACCAGTAGACAGGTACACTGGACCAGGTTTTGAGAAGACTAAGCATGTTCAAGACTCATCTTTTATTTTTGATATAATTTTTGGTGTCTTACAACTTTACACAGAACACACTTGTATTAACTATATTATTAATGCAATGAATGTTGTTGCTTGTTTTACTATTGTGCATTGTTATGATACTGTACATGACGTCCTCTGCCCTCGAATGTTTCTGCCATCTCAGTTTGGGGGTGTGACAGCACTGCACAACGATGAGTTTACCATAATACCCCTCTTCTCCAAAGCCAAAGCTGTTGGAATTCTGTCTTAGACAGCCCTCCAGATGAAGCATAACACCTTGATTGGAATCACCTTACTCCATACCATATCCGAAGTATCGGGGACGTTTCCATACGTAGAATCTACAATCTTCCTAAGAGAACAGACCGAGTACATGCCATCAATAGTTAGCTTGCAGCTCCAATGGTCTGAGCTCGAAACTAAGTGAATGCTGGATGTATCACTAGAAAGGGTACTAACAGCAGAGTCTAACCCCAGGTCAGCGTGTATAGACTTCCAATTCCAACCATAATTCGAACCACCAATTCTGTCAGCTACAGTGCATCGTTTCTTGGATTCTAATTCAAATAAGGAGGGATATTTTTACCTTTAAACTCCCTGGCCCTAGCCAAGAATCATACCAAAACAGAGATTCGTTCCTTGATTCGATCACCAATCTGAATATGTCTTGAACGTCTATACCTTGCTCAAGCAGTGCCATTTTTGTTCTGCTAATATTATTCCAAACTCCACAAGACGTTTGTCTAGAAAGATAATCGAAGGGATTATTCGCTAAGTAGTGGATCCCATAAATCACCCGGGCCCAAAGGGAATGTCTCTCATTCTTTAGTCGTCACCACCATTTCACAAGTAACCCAATATTTAAGGCTTTAATGGAACCCACTCCCAAACCCCCATCACATTTGGCTGCCACCACCTTATCCCAACTTACCCAGTAAATTTTCTTCCTTTCATCACACCCACCCTATAAGAATGAACGCCTAACCTTCTCCAATTCTTCTGCCACACCCAATGGAGCTTTGAATAACGATACGTGATAGGTAGGCAGATTCCCAAGAACTAACTTTATTAAAGTCAATCTTCCACCAAACGATAGGGTTTTTAGATACTAAATAACTCATTATTTTTTGGATATTTTACGAAAAAATATATTTTATTTTTTCATCAAAAATCTATTACAATTTGGAAACAGAAACTCTAATTCAAACTCTCATGATCGATTGTATAACACACATATACATAAATACACACACACACACACATATATATATATATATATATATATATATATATATATATATATATATATATAGGGTTAGGTTCATGTGAGACCACTAGATTTTGTGAGACGGGGAGACCAAATCTTGACCACTCATCTTTAATAATCAAAGACTGATATTAATTTAGATTAAACCATAAAATAGGCGGTGACAATTTTGTAAATTAATGGAACTTTGGGATTAGATCAAGACACGGAGGGGCAGGAGTGGAATTTTGCATTCTTTTTCGTTCAACACACAAAAACACCCGGTATTCTTCCTAAAAACCCTAGATACGAACACTAAAACCCATTTGATCCAAATCTCGATCATCGTTCTGCTTCCAAATCTCGATCATTGTTTCAGACTCCTTATTCTCATTATACTTGAAATTCATCTTCCGATTCTTACACGAATCAACTAGAATATTAAAAACCTTTTGATTTTGAATTTGATATCGAATCAAATGGCTCATTCTACAGATTCTGATTCTGATTTTGTATCAACAGCTGTTCCAAGTTAGTATAATACTATAAACCTCTTGTTCTTATTCAATAAACCTATATGTTCTTATTATAGACAGTTTTTTCACTTTGAATCGTTGTGTATCTTCAATAAATGTCTAATAATCGAGATATTTCACTAGCGATTTATATGTCGAAGTCAGGATGTAATGGAATATAACATTATAAAACATACAATCTAAACCTAAATCTCAGTGTGTGATTTATATAGAGTCTATGTATCTAAATGTTAACTCTACATAATATTCTAATTATTCCCCATTTCATTTGATCTAAATATTCTTAATCAAAATCAGCAAAGATGTTATGTTATTCGAACTAATTGTTCATCATTTAATTAGATTTAGATCCATAAATTGTCTAATACTATAGATTTTGGTAACATAAATCTCTTCTTATGATTGTAGTATAGTGTTTAGCCAAAAAAAATCTTTGTATTCTAGTGAATTTTATGTTGATTGATAAATAGAAATTTGTTGTTATGTTGATTTATCATATATTCTAACATTTGAAAATCAGCAAAGATGTTATGTTATTCTAACTAATTGTTCATCATTTAATTAGATTTAGATCCATAAATTGTCTAATACTATAGATTTTGGTAACATAAATCTCTTCTTATGATTGTAGTATAGTGTTTAGCCAAAAAAATCTTTGTATTCTAGTGAATTTTATGTTGATTGATAAATAGAAATTTGTTGTTATGTATTTATAGAACTGTGACCAGATTATATATCATCAACTAATATGAATTCTAATGGAATTTGTTGTTATTGATGCAGCTAAAAAAGTGCAAACAAATGCAACTGTAAGAAAAACAGGGAAAGAAATTTATATAGATATAGGTAGAAATTGTAATTAATTTTAGATTAAATATTATAATTGCTTTTAGTAACTTCTAAATGCTTTTAATAAATATTCTAATTGTTTTTATTTGATAATTTTCTTCATACAGATTTAGGGGATCAAGATAGGGTTAAAAAAGGTATGAACACACTTTCTTTCAAAAATTCATAAAAAAGCAAATGTTTGGATTTATTTTTTTAAGTTAGTTATTCTGAATATTCTAATTTTGTTTATCATATATTCTAATTGATTTTAATTGTTAAATTTCATGATAAAAATTTGCAAATTGTAAATCAAAAGAAAAAGAAGGCAGATTTTATGTTGATTGATAAATAGAAATTTGATGTTATGTATTTATAGAACTATGACCAGATTATATATCATCAACTAATATGAATTCTAATGGAATCTGTTGTTATTGATGCAGCTAAAAAAGTGCAAACAAATGCAACTGTAAGAAAAACAGGAAAAGAAACTTATATAGATATAGGTATAAATTGTAATTACTTTTAGATTAAATATTATAATTGCTTTTAGTAACTTCCAAATGCTTTTAATAAATATTCTAATTATTTTTATTTGATAATTTTCTTCATACAGATTCAGGGGGTCAAGATAGGATTAAAAAAGGTATGAACACACTTTCTTTCAAATAATTCATAAAAAAGCAAATGTTTGGATTTATTTTTTTTAAGTTAGTTATTCTGAATATTCTAATTTTGTTTATCATATATTCTAATTGATTTTAATTGTTAAATTTCATGATAAAGATTTGCAAATTGTAAATCAAACGAAAAAGAAGGCAGATGAAGGAAAATCAAAGAAAAAAATTTAAAAAAAAAAAACCGTTGTTACTTCTGAAAGCGAATCTGATTCTTCTTCCGATTCATCCTCACAACATAGAAAAAGAATTTAAAAAGGTATCAACAATCATTCTTTAAAACACTTAACAAAAGAAATTTTTTGGATTTATTTTTTCAGTTGATTATTATGAACATTCAAATTGATTAAAATAAATATTCTAATTTATTTCAATTTTTAAAATTCTTCATACAGCTAAAAATACATAAAAGAAGAAAAGGCTTGAAAAGAAAAAAAGACACTATGTTTTAGAATCTTCATCTTCACAGTCAGAGACATCAGAGTCAGAGATATCCACAACAGAGAGTGATGAATATGGTAAAATATGTTATCTTTTATAATATATATATGTTGACATCAAATAAAAGTATATTATATTTTTCTAATAGAATAATTATTGATGCAGATAAAGTAAATAAAAAGAAAAAAAGAAAAGTCAAAAAACATTTGAAGCGCTACAACAAATTAATCCATAATGATGTGAAGTACAAAAAGAAAAAGCATGTTTCTGATTCTTCAACAGAATCAGAGACAAAATCAAATACACAGTCAACGGGTAAAATAATCTAAACTTTTTTAATCTGAAATATGATTTTATACTTTATAATTCCAATATTATGGAACAATAGAAATATTAGAGTGTTTCTAACAATAATTTGCATAGCCTATGTTTGACATGAATTGCTTATGGATCATAACTGAAATTCTAGGTATTTTGATATGAAAGTATTTTTCTAGTGTTTATTGATGTGAAAATATGTTTCTATGATATGAAATGTTTATGGTTCATATTACACATTCTATATATTATTATATCATAAATCATATAATACTTGATTTTTGTTGTTTTACTTAGCTGATATAGGATTTGCAACATTTGAGTTTAATTTTTTTATAAATAATATAATTTGAATAAATATCTACATTTTACTTAGATGATATAGTATTTTTGGATTAAATTTCACAGAATATTCTGATATAATAAGTGTATATGTATAATATTCTTTTGGAATATTACTTTGTAATTAGATGATATATGATTTTTGGATTTTTGTGGTGTTACTAACATTTATGAGTGATGTAATGAATTAGATGATGAATCTGATGAAGAAATCTATGTAAAAAAGAGAACCGGTGATAGAAAATATGTTAAAGGAGTGACAAAGATTAAAGAAGCAAAAAGGAAGAGGAATAGTGGGGACAATCGTGCAACAATAAAGAAGCAAAAAACCGTGAAAGAGCAAAAGACTGTGAAAGATATATTGAAGGAGTTGCCTTCAATAAACACTAGATCGACACCTGGATTGATGACAGATGCTGTAAGTTCTTTGACATCAGAACAAAAAGATTGGGTGAAACGGATGGGATTTAAAGCATTTTTGAAGGTCAACATTAAGAGTATTCCCTTAAAACTTTGCCATTTTGTGCTTGAGCATTATGATGAAGGCACAAACAGTATTCTGATTAAAGGAAAAAGAATAAAGATAACAAAGGAAAAAATTCATAAAGTGTTTGGTTTACCCAAAACTGTAAAAAGCTAAAATTTGACTTGGACATGGTTAGCGAAGATCATCAAGTGTTTGATGGATGGATGAAGGAACTTAAAGGTGGAAAGGCACATGCAACAAACTACAAGAAGATTATTCAAAAGTCCAAACAAGTGGATATGAATTTCAAGCTGGGTTTCATAGCTTTATTTGTTAATACGTTTGCAGAATCCATTCCTATGGGGACAAACAACTTAGTTCCAATTAGAGCACTTGTTGAAGTAGATGACATTTCTAAAATCGATTAGTGTGCGTATTTGTTGTACTGTGTGAAAAATTCAAAAGGGAGATGGCGTCCAGACAACCCCAAATGTTATTACAGAGGCCCAATGTTGTTGCTATTGGTATGTTTTTTCATATACTTATTTTTTTCTTAAAAATGGATATCTGATATGATGTTGAAACAATGCAGCTAATTTACTGTGATGAAATTGAATGCAATCTCCAAAAAATAGAACGTAAAACACCATTAGTTACGATGTGGACAATAGATAAGTTGAAGGAAAGACAATCTTTTGAGATTGAAGCTGGTGGATTTGGGGTTGGAAATCTAATTGAACAAAGTTCAAATTTAGAACGTGAGTAGAATGAGAATCAGGAGAATGAGAATCAGGACACACGTATTGAGGTATATTCTAAGTAGAATATATTATTAAATTATGTTTTAGAATATATTTTAATTATGTCCTAACTTAATATAAGAAAAATATTATAATGTCTTTTTTTCCCAAGAGTAAGAAGAAAAGTATGAAAAAAATTTCAACAATGTCTCAACTGAAAAGGATAATATGGAAGATATTATTTTTCATTGTCTATCGAAATTCCCTGAAGACAATAGAATGAAGGAGATGATAAGGAAGTTTAGAGACATATTTTCAACTACACTTTTTTCTAGTCGAGAGAAATCAGAAATTATTAAGGAGAGAACTGAAGTCAAAGCAGATAGAGATGAAGAGCTTAATAAAACAAACATTTCTGATTTTGATGATGATAAAGATGAAGGAATGAATACAAAGTTGGTTGCATTTTTAGCTGTTAAACCATTACAATAGAAGTTTCCAGATAATGAAGAAAGACAAGAAAAAGATCAAGATATGAATGTTGACAACCCAATAAATTTGGGTTTAGAGAATAATATTGGCAAGGAAGCTATTAGACATCCGCACAATCCAGAAAGACAAATAGAATTTGAAGGCATAAATATTGATGACAAAATAAATTTGGCTTTAGAGGTGAATAATATAGACGAAACTATTGGAAAGAAGAATTTAGAAGAGAATGTTGAGAGAAAAAATCTTGTTGAGGGTGGTGAAATGATTGGTGGGGAGAAGATTAGGGAGGGGAATACTGTAGAGAAAGTGGTTGGAGACAACATAGGTGAGAGCTCAATTGTTACACCAAAACATGATCCAAAATGTATATCTATTGATTTTCCCCTTGGTCTGATACATTCATAGAAAAATTAGATGAGGATTTGTTTAGAATATTCTCAAACAGAAATCCAGATTCAAATACAATTCCAAATCCAGTTGTCAAATCTCCTGTTCCAAAAAAACTAACATTTGAAAATTCAGAATTTCCTTCCTTTGATCTTCAAATAACCCAACTAATGAACGATGCAGAAACTGGTGATAATTCTGAGAGTAGAGAAAGGGAAAAGGGTCAGAATGTGAATGAAAGAGGGAAAAGGAAGGTGACTAATCTAGATATTTTTATATCACCTTTTGTGAATAGGGTAATTGACTTAAGTGAAAAAGCATGTATTGGGCAAGAGATAATGGCGCAAATCATGTTTAGATGCGTTGGAGACAAAGATCCAATGTAAGTAAATTCACAATGTTTAGTAATTTTTTTTATTAGATATGCATATTCTTGAAGGAATACTTTTATAAATTTGAGTATTGTGTAATATTCTTATTGGAATATTGTAACACTATTCAAAACAAAATATTATTTTAATTAATTTACATTAGTTTTAGTTAAATAATATATTTTAACTACAATGCAATATTTTCCTTTGAAGGGAAATGCTGTTTGAAACCGATTCTGGAGACATAATGGATAGGGTGCATTTTGAGGGTATGCGTCCAAATCATAAGATACATCCTTTCGTTATTGATTGTTGGGCTGCTGTTCTTAATTTTGAAGAAGAAAACCCGAGAAACAAAAAATCACCACCACGTGTCTTCTTCAACACTCAAATTATGGTACTTAATTTTTAAATTTATTTTCTTTACTCTAATTATAATTTATAACAGGTGTATTCTAATATTTCTATTGTTCTATATGTACAAACAGAAAAATTATTGGATTCTTCAATACCTTTTGTCGAAAGATTCCGACTTTTTGATGAGGCTGTAAACAATTACTTATATGACATCAAAAGAAAAGTGGATTTCAATTCTATTAATCTGGTATGTATTTTTTATTACAAGATAACATATTCATATTAAAATTTATAAAATTCATCGGTATTTATGTTTGAACTACAAGTGTTTTTTCCAATACACAACCGTGGTCATTTTTATTGTCTTCTTTTCAACCTTACAAATCCATAACATATAATCATTGACAGCATAAGATACACCAAAAAAGTAGAAGATATCTATGGAGAGATTCTTAAACTTGTGGTAATTTGTTTCTTGCATAAATCTAAATTTTTTATTTTAATCATAACTGTTTACTTTAAAAAACCACTATGTATAAGTAAATAAATTCTGATTAGAATATAAAATATAATATTTATATTCTTATAAGATTTATTTACTTAATATAGTTATAATTTTAGAAAAATAATGGTATTTTATTAATATACATTGCATCAAATGTACTTTTCAAAGTTTTTGGACAACAATCGGCGGGATAAGGTTTCTTTGTTTAAATCTGTGAAGCCAAAGAAAATGAAAATGACATGGCAAACAAAAGCTAAGACAAATGATGATGGTATATTTTTGATGAGGCACATGGAAAAATACATGGGTGAGAAAGAAGAAAAAATGGGATGTGGAACTGGGAGAAGAAAGTGTTAGGACATCTAAGAAGATTGCAAAGTTGCGTACATATTATGTTGCTAAGCTAGCAAACCATCAAATTAACAAGCAGAAAAAATTGAATGTTGCAGAAGCATTGGAATTTTCAAAACTTGATAAGAAAACTAGGTGTATGTTGGTGAAAGAAGGGAGTGAAGCAAGAGACAATTTGGAAATGAAGAAAGTTTGAAAATTTCTTATATTGGCTTATTACATACAAACAATTTATTTTCTATTGTGTTTTTTTAAAAAAAAATACTTATGTTTTAGGATATGCTTAAACCATTGATATTTTCGTAAATGATATGCTTAAACTAGTTAGTTGGTATCTTGATAAAATATTTACTGCTTAATAGTAAATGATATATAGCGTTTAAAATTTTTGTTTGATGATGCCTAATTATTTGATTAAAAAATTGTTTGGTAAAATGATAAATGATTAAAATCCATAATAATGTTGACAAATAAAAACACATATTGTTAATATTGTATTAAGCTTATTCTAATTTGTTTTATGTAAATTATTCTGATTATTCTGGTTTCATTAAAATACTTAATAATAAAACGTTTTATTATCTAACTATAATATAATATGTAGTTTTGTTTTAGAATATTTTAATAAAAAGAATAAATGAAATTAGATTTAGTATCCTGTTACAATAATAAAAAATTAGGATAATAAAATTTTAGTATCTTTTAGGACATCTTACTTTAGAAAAAAAAGTACATTGTCTCTATTAGTAGAAGTAAAATTTTAGAATAAATGAAAATATTTGTTTTTGAATATTTGTAATTAAGTAATTTTATTTTAGAATATACGTAATTAAGTAATTTTATTTTACAATTAAAATAATCTTTGAACCAAAGTGTAAGTTTTTAAATTAAAAGGGACTAAAAATACTAGGAATTACTTGCCAGGGACGAAAAAGGGACAAATGTAATAACTTTGAGATTACGACTTATTCACGAGGGAAGAACATTAAAATCAAAAAACTCAATTTCTTCATTTGTATTCTCAAAACTCTCTTCCAAACTTCTTATCATTCTCGGTTTTAAACACTCCATCAAAACCCTAACTTCTTGTGCTCTTGAACTCGTCATCTTCGATTTCTCCTTGGATCGATTTCATTTTTCGATGTTGTGAATCCGATTTTCACTTGAAAACATCGATAAATACCCTAAAAACCTTGTCATATCGATTTTAAACTTTTTGATTCATATTATGGTCTTTAATCCCTCGATAAAACCCTAAACTTACTTAATTTCATTCTTATCGAGTATTTCTATCAACGAAAATGGCTACATCAACACGTGCTTCAGAATCTACACCATCAAATCATCTAAATGACATTATTACCAAAACTTCTCAAGAAATTCCATGTATTTCAATAGTTCTGTTAATTATCATATTATATCCTTGTTTCCGTTTGAAAACGACGATGTTGCTTCGAGAATTGACCTTCTATTGTTGCTCCAGTCTCCATATCTACATACTAATAATTAGGGCATTGGGCTCTTGTATCTTAGTGATTCCCATTGTTAGGATCATAAAGTGAAATAGGTGAAACGAAATGAAATAAGATGCAAGATACACCATACCTTCAAGAAGCAATAGAAAATGTAGAAAATAACATCAAATTAGGCTTCTATTAATAAATCCAGTTTATGAATCAAACCAGCAGGAGTAAGTATTATGATCCTAATAATGGAAATATTTTACCCCTGTTTCAAAAATGGTTGGTTTGAGAGATTTTTAGAATTTTTGACTTATACCTTGTTGAAAGTTGAAATTAGGTGACAATCCCCTGGGGTAAGTATTATGATGAGTTAGAATATAATTTTGAAATAAATGTAAGTGTTTTTCTATTACAGACAACAATTAAAGTGTATTTAACATTAATTATTTTCATGCAGCTAATGTTATAACAAGAATGACAAAATCAAAAATAAAAATGATGACACTGGATAGAAGTAGTGAAGTTGAAACTTCAACAGGCAAACGGTTGGTTCAAAAAAGAAAATCATCGAAGTCGATCGATGAATTAACAGCTACAACATCAAAAGAAAAAGAAAAAAAAGGTACATCATCAGTTATTCTATTCTAATAAAATATTTATCTCATTTGTTTATGTTATTCTATGTATTATAATAAAATATTCTATATTCTATTATTGTTTTTCTATATTCTATTAATCTTATTCTAATAGAATATTTTTAAATATTAATCTAAATATTAATTTCTGTTATTCTATGTACTATAATAAACTATTCTATGTATTATAATAGAATATAAAAGAATAAATGATATATTGTGTATTCTATGTTTTCTAATAAAATATTTATCTCATTTGTTTCTGTTATTCTATGTATTACAATAAAATATTCTATATTCTATTAATCTTATTCTAATAGAATATTTTTAAATATTAATCTAATTTGTTTCCTTATTCTAATAGAATATTTTTAAATGTTACTCTAGATATTTGGATATGATAAATCAATTATTAATTATAATTTGATTCTGAAAATGCCAATAAACAGCAAGAAGGTTGGATATGGGTAAAACTCATGAAAAAACTTCAATAGCCGAACGACTAATTGAAAGAAGAAAATCATTGAAGCTTATTGATGAATCAGCCGATACAACAGCAAAATCCAAAGAAAAAAAGGTATATCATCAATTATTGTAAAAATAAACATTTTACATAGTTCGTTTTAATTGGAGATTTTTGTGTTGACTAATAACATGTTAGTTAAACCCTAACGGGTTTTTGTCTAACCCTAATCACTAACAGTTTGGACTTAATTATACGATTAGGTACTTAAGTCATGATAATTAAAGTTTGGAAGAAAGTTTCCATATAATCAATTTGATCGATTTTGCCCTTATGCAAAGTATTGACGATTTTACCCCTGTTTCAAAAATGGCTGGTTTTAGAGATTTTTAGAATTGTTTGACTTATACCTTGTTGAAAGTTGAAATTAGGTGACAATTACCTGGTGTAAGTATTATAATAAGTTAGAATATAATTTTGAAATAAATGTAAGTGTTTTTCTATTACATACAACAATTAAAGTAAATTTACTGTAATTATGGAACGTTGCTGGATTTTCTGAAGTTGTCAAAGTTGGTGTTTGACTTTGACTTCTGTTATTAATTATATTGATGTCTCAGCATTCATTGGCTTCTGAAACATAGTAGACATATTCATATAGATGTTATTCTACTAGAATATTCTGAAGTGTTACTTTTCTATTCTATTTTTATGATGTTATGATCTTTTTTCTAATATTATTTATTCTGAAAATCCATTGAACAATAGGGTAACAAAAGGTGCATTCTGAAGAAAAAAATAAAAAAAAGGAAGTTAGACAATACGAATGATAACATCGAGAAAAAGACACAAAAAACAACAAAAGATTTATTAAAAGATCTGCCTTCAATAAATACTAGAATGAATCCTAGAGCTATGATTAAAGTTATAAGAAGTTTAAGTATGTCTCAAAAAAATGTGTAAAGAAGATGGGTTTTGGATCGCTTTTGGAGTTGAACATCAAGAGAATTCCGTTGAAGCTTGCACATTTTGTTGTTCAACATTATGATCATCAAAACAACAGTATTGTGCTTGATAAAAAAAATTAAGATCAGGAAAGAAAAGATTCATAAAGTCTTTGGTCTACTAAATGGAGGAAGAAGCTTGTTTGATTTTCATTTTGTTGACAGTGAGAATGAAACGTATGTTACATGGAAAAGTCAGTTTACAAAAGAAACAATGAATGCCACTAGATTCAAAGAAGCCATTCTGAAATCCAAAAGAGATGATGATATCTTCAAGCTAAATTTTCTTTCTTTGTTTGTGAATACGTTTGCTGAATCACATTCTTATGGGACGTGCAACATAGATCCTGTTAGAAGAGTAGTTGGAGTTGAAGACATCTCATGCATTGATTGGTGTGCATACTTAAATTACTGTCTGGAGAATACAAGATCTCTATGGCATCAAGATAAAAAGAAATGCTATTATAATGGGTCAATGTTGTTATTGATGGTATGCTTTTTGTTTAATTATTTTAATTATTTTTTATTTATGAATATCTAATACAATTTACAAACTACTATCATGCAGCTACTTTACTGTGACGGTCTTGAATGTCAGCGTTTAATCTTAAAGTCAAAAATTCCAACAATAACAATGTGGTCAACAGAGGATTTGAATAACAGACAGTCTTTTGAAATTGAAGATGGTGGGTTTGGATATGGAAAAGTTGTTATCACACAAATGACGAGAGATAGCGAGGGACCGTCCAATGTGAAAGACAATCTTTATGACACTGTTGAGGTAACTTTAACTAAAATATAAAATATAATTTCTTTTTATATTAGGTTAAAGTATGATGTTATAAAAAATTCTGGATATTTTTATATTACATGCTTATGGTTCATAGTAAATATTCTAAGATATTCTGAGATGATAAAATATTACATGCTTATAATTCTAGTAATTTATTATTTTTCAGGAATATAAAGAGAACTTTGATAAGATGTTCAATAAAGTTTCATCTAGAAAGGAGGACATGTATGGAATTGTTTCTGATTGTATATCAAATTTCCCAGATGTCAATATAACAAATGAATTGAAAGAGAAGTTCATTAAGTTATTTTCATATCCTATTTTTTCAAGTGCTGATAATCAAAACAATGAAAACGAAAAAAAGGATCACATGAAAGGGTTGAATCTCAAAATGGTGACACGGGGGGGAATGATATAAGTTCTTACAAATCACCACATATGGATAAAGTTGTGAATTTATTTGATATAATCGATTTGCAGAATGTTCTTTTGATTCAGGTTCTAATAAGATGTGCACAGGATAAAAACAGAATGTAAGTTACTAACTCTTGCTATTTTAATTAAACATGTATTATTTTTTTGAATTGTTGTTTAACTATAATACATGTGGATATTTATTCTAATGTTGATGACATATTTTTTGTTAATGTTTAAAATTAAGGGAGATACTTTTTGAAACAAATACGGGAGAGATTATGCATAGACAGGATTTTGAGAGCATGCGGCCTTATCATGTTATACATAATAGTGTGATTGATTCTTGAGCTGCTGTTCTAAATTACGAGGAACAAAAGCCAAAAAGTAAACCATACCGCTTGTTCTTCAATACCAAAATTATGGTAAATTCTTTTACAATTGAAACTTTTATATTTTAGTTGTAAATTATAACAAGATATTCTAATTTTCTGTTTTTCTATGTTTACAGAGTTCTGAGTTATTAGATGAAACTAAATCTTTTGACGAGCGAGTTTTAACTTTTGAGACTCGTGTTGATAAGTTTCTATCTAATTTCAAGGCAAATGTAGATTTCAATGATCTTAAACTCGTAAGAATATTTTATTAATTAAAATATTACATTATTAAAGGATACGAATTATGTTAACTTTTTGATCAATTTGTTGGAATTGCAGGTGGTTTTCCCAATACTTAATGGTGATCATATGTATGTTGTTGTTTTCAACCTAACATATCCACAAGTTCATATTATAGACAGCATAGAAACAAAATCGTTAGAAGAAACTTATGGAATGACACCTACATCATTAGTAAGTTTTCATTTACTTTTATTAAATGTATTAAAGTTACAATATAATAGACTGAATAATGTAATTTTGTAATATACATTGAAGAAATTGTACTTTATACGATATCTGGAGAAAACTACATTTATCGTCAATAAAATCAAAGGTTTGCGATCAACAACAGTGAAGATGATGAAAATTGACTGGAACACAAAGAAGTTAACAACATAGAATGGAACACTTTTAATGAGACATATGGAAAAATATTGTGGAGAAAAGCAAGGAAAGTGGAATGTGGAAATGGAAAAAGGCAGTGATGTGCAAGATGTGCAATTTGGTAAATTATGTGCCTTATATTCTATTAAGATTGCTACACATGAAATCAACAACCACAAGGAGAGAGTTATCAAAGAGGCAATCGAATTTGGAAAATTTGATCATGCGACTAGAAAAAAGATGTTAGAGGAAGGTATCAATAGAATGGATGAATTGGAAATGGGTAATAGATAGAATTTGATATAAACTTGATATGGTGACTTAACAACAATTCCTTTTGTAATATCTATCTTATTTTGAACAAATTAGACAAAAAAAATGATGTCTAGTATTATGTAAGAAACTTGATATGGTTTATTAGGTGATTAATGCTTAATATATAGTTGGTATTGTGATCACTTCTTAATGATCATGGTAGAAATATTCTATAGTAAACATAAATTTTTTAGAATATTCTAATAGAATTATGTATAATGACATCATTATTCTATTAGAATAATATTAGATGTTGCATATACCTATATAACATTCTTACATGTATAATCTTGTATTATAATAATTTGATAACAAAACATTATACTACAATCATTCGTATATACTTCAAAAAATTAAAGATTGAAAATATTAGAAGAATCAATATGTTTTCAAATGTATCACACATCATCACAAACCAAATGTCTCATACATCATCACAAATCAACTGTCTCATACATCATCACAAACCAAAATATCTGAAAAATGTCCAAAACTAAAGAAATTCAAACTTTTATCTATATGGTATTATTGAACTTTATTGAGATACGAAAAAATCGAAATATATTTCTAGACACAACTATGCACTTTGTACCTTGGAGTTATTCAACAATGTCAAACATTTCCTTGAATTATGCCCTTTAACTCCACATGTTTTGCATGATCTTGATTGCTTGTTACCTTGAATAGTAGCCTTCTCCAAAGCACTTTTTAAACGTTTTCCTGTACCAGAACCTTTATTCTTCACCATAGGAGGATTTTCAACATCAACAACTTCAGGATTCGTAGCAGCTCCGTAAAGTTTATCAATATGAGCTTCTTTTGTAACCGGTGCTTCGTCTGAACCTTGTTCACCAATATCAGTCATAAAAACTTCTAGCTTTTGCATGAACTCTTCTAACTTCTTGTCATCATTACTTAATGAAGACAAGCATTGATCAAGCATGGAAAAAGCTTTGTATGCAACCTTCTCAACATTTCCAGACGAATCACCATATCTAAACGTCCTTTTCAAAACTGTGGTGGGGATAATATCTCTTCTCCATCTCTTAAGAATGTATCTTGACGGAATCTCTTGTATGTCATAAATCTTTAGAATACAGAAGATGTGTCTACAAAAAATTCCAAACCGCTCAAAAAGCATGCATGAACATTTCACTGTTAGATCTTCTCTGTTGAATTCAACCTGGTTCAAAAGTATTAGGATATTAAGTATATTCAAAAAAGAAAAATTAGAATATTTTTCAAAAGTATTAGAATATTAAGTATATTCTAAAAAGAAAAATTAGAATAATATAAAAAAAATTTAAAGAAAATAATTTAGTAATAAAAATTATAATATTAGAATTATAAAATGTCAACATTACCTCGAAATCACCTTCACTTGTGTTAAAATTCCATTCACAATCGATGTCAACTTTTTCTTTTTTCTCAACTACTACCTTCTTCTTTGATAGATTTGTCCTTTAATGTTTGACAATGCATATGTCGGAAACAACACCTGAACTAACACTCTTCTGTGAACAAGAAACAAGTGAATGAAGAATCTCCCTCTGCACCATGAGAAAAATAGTCCTGGTGTATACCATAGATGCATGTTTCTCCATATCTTCAAGAGGTGTTTTGATGATTGGAATTATAGTAGATGTATCAAAATCAAATTTGATCTGATTATTCATTTGCCTTTCCATAACAGACTCAAAAGCATTCATGAAATTGTTTAACGTATAACCATGATGTGGTACCCTATTGAATGTTGAATTCTCACTGTCCGACCGAGAAGTTGTTCTCATTAGACCTGACATCGGTACATCTTTAAAATAGGATGGAATCCAACTGCTTCTCAAATCAAACATATCTTTCATCCATTTATTGTCTTGTAACTTATATTTTACCATTAATGCATCCCATCTCCTTTCAAAATCATTCACAACAATTTTGGAGTCCCATACTATACTATTGAAGTCCACCTTAAAATTCGATTCATTCATTGTTTCCCAGCTTACCTTCAAAAAACAATTCATATATTATTCTGTTAGAATATAATATAGTATAAAAAGGCATTTCATTTAATATATTATCCTAATTACAAAAAATATTTCATTTAATATTCTGATAAGAATATAATACAGTATAAAAAGGTATTTCATTTAATATATTATTCTAATTACAAAAATATGTCATTTAATATTCTGATAAGAATATAATACAGTATAAAAAGGCATTTCATTTAATATATTATTCTAATTACAAAAAATATGTCATTTAATATTCTAATAAGAAAAGAACAATAATGTCATATTTATATTGAAAATAATGTCATATTTATATTGATAAGAATATAACAATAATGTTAGTACCTTCAATGGAAGTTTATTTGTGATATGCCACATACAAAATCTATGTTTTGTGTATGACAATACTATCTCAATAGCTTTTTTCATTGTTGGATCTTGATCGGTCACGACCATGATTGGTGCTTTTCCAAAACACTTCAAGAATGACCGAAGTAACCAAATATAGGAATTTGTATCTTCTCTACACAACAAACCAGCTCCAAAAGTGATGCACCTTTTGTGATTATCAATGCCAGTAAAAGGTACAAATACCATACAATACCTAAAAAAACACAAAAAAAAGACCATTAGAATATAGAACTAAAAATGTTTATAATTCTTGAATAAATACCTGTTTGTACGATATGTTGCGTCAAACGAAATAACATCCCCAAATAACTCAAAGTTTTGTTTTGAAGTGTCATCAGCCCAAAAAAGAGCATTTAACTGCTTCTTGTCACATCTGTATTCGTATGTAAAATTTGTAACATTCTCTTTACGATTCTGAAGCTTTGTAATCAACAAATTTGCATCAGTGCCCCCGATGTGACAATTTATATCCCTTGTAAAATTTTTCCAATCTATCTCTAGTCCACCAACAAATTCACATCCTCCTTTTATAACGCACATTAGCCTATAAGCTGTAGTTGCCCCCACCTTTGCACTCGAAAGCTTATGTATAAAAGCTTGATCAACAACATCCAACTGACGTTTAGCTCTTGAAAGATGCATACAATCTTGATTGATCAATTTGTGGTTGTTCTGTTGTTCAAAGCGCCACAGGTAAACTTCTGAAGAATGTGGTATAACTTTGAATGCAACAAAAGCTTTGCAATTTGTGCGTTTACAATTACTATTTCTCAATTGCTTGTTATGATCGTCACTAATCGTGTCTAAGGTAGAAGTGTTTGGCAATCCCCCTCTATTGCATATAAAATATTTCGAAGTTGTGATTCCACTCTTTTTCCTCTCTGTTGATTTTCTAATATCAAAACCAGATCTTAATGCATATCCTTTATACCACTTAATAGCATCTTTGATATCTTTAAAAATTGAACCCCAAAGGAGGTATCCAACTAGCTTCAACCTCTTGAATCCAAAAGAAAGAACAATCCACTCCAATGAATTGTTTGCAAGAGCCATATTGTGCTGCAACATTGTCACTTTGAAATACAAAAAAGAATATACCACCATGTTAACATATAATCAGAATAATTTGCATTCATATGACTGTAATCATAAAAAACCACAATGTTATATGTGCATTATTCTATAAGCATAATATGCAGTAACATTCTATAAGAATAACTGATATCAGTAACAGAATTACCGTGGATTTCCGATTGATTTCCATCATTATGCAGAATCTCTGAATCACCAGAACTGAATTGATGATTTTCTTCATCGTAATGATCATTTCCGATGTCATTCATATCTAAATCATCCATAACTGTTACTAGGTTAAAAATTGAATATGTTATATGCAACTAACAATGAAAGCAATGAAAACTCAAACCTTGATCAATTGATCAAATCATGATATAAAGTAAAATTTAACAAAATTACCTTGGGTTTCTGATTGATTTTCCTCGTTATGAAGGATCTCTGAATCATTAAAACTGAACTGATGATTTTCTTCATCGAGATGATTGTTTTCCATGTCATGCATATCCAAATCATCCATAACTGTTATCATTATTGATATATAAATGTATGTACACTATTCTATAAGAATAACATGCAGTCTCATGAACTTATCACTAATATGATGTTAATGAAAAGCAAATAGATGATGTTAATCAAAAGAAAACAGATGACATATTGCTGAAAAACATAATGATTGAATGAAAGTTAAAAATCAAACAACGAAATAGATGATGCATTGTCAAATAACATATTATAGATTAAATTGTTTTCTAGGTCAAACAAATTCAACAACAAATGATGTTTGATTGCTGAATTGGATGTCTCAACAACAGATGATGTTTGATTGCTGAAATCACAAATCATACAAATATAAAATTGGAGAAATCGATAATAGCTTGATGATTCAATCATGAACTAGGTTAAAAATTGAATATGTTATATGCAAGTAACAGTGAAATCGATGAAAACTCAAACCTTGATCAATTGACGATTTCATGATGTTGAAGATGAAGATTAGCAGAAATCGTTGAACACTTGAACCTCTACTGAAATCGATGATCATAGAGTTAAAATTGATCAAAATCTTCTAATGAATTGCTAATGTCAATACATGAACATAAACATCAATCACTCAGATTATCAATTGCAGATGTAGAAGAATCAAGAACATGAACTCGAAAAACACAAAAATCGCGAATTTAAAAGCTATGATTCAACATCGTTCGATCAATGTCCAGATCAAATCGATTATCGGTTGAAAGAATATAAGATCGGAGATAGAATATCGATCAAATTAAATTGAAGAACAAGGAATGTTGTTTCATCGAATAAATTGGTAGAAAACCGGAACAGGTGATATGATTTCTTGATGACGTGAAAGTTAAGCTAACCTGATCATCTTAAATTTAACCTAGTGACTAATCTACCCCTAATTAATTAATCAGTTAGATTAATTAGTATTAATCCATTTTTTTTATGAGCCACAAGATCAAATTTGATCAAATGCTAAGATTTAGTCCTCATGTCTCACAAAATATAGGTAGTCTCAAATGAACCTCTCTCTCTCTCTCTCTCTCTCTATATATATATATATATATATATATATATATATATATATATATATATATATATATATATATATATATATATATATATATATATGTTAATTGATATTCTAATATGTTAAAGTACATTGATATTCTAATATGTTTATACCTTCGGTTGGGGGTGCCGGGGTGGAGTGGTTGTCTAAAGTAAACCACATGCTCTCGTCCGCTCCACTGCGTGGACCGTCGACACACAGAACCTTCTTCCTCCCTTCATTTCCTTCCGCTCTATAAATGCAACTCAACTCAACTCACTCTTTGGATTATGTTACCTTCCACCTTCAAAATCACACCCATCACATCTCCACTTTCAACAAAAGGTATCCACTTTCAGTTCAACATTTCATCTCTAATTGTCAATTTACCTTTTTCTTATTCAGAAACCTCCGATTAATTTCTAATTGGGGTTTTCTTTCTTTTAGGGTTTTTATCCTCTCCTTCGCTCACACATTGAGTTTGATGCGTTAGTTTCTGTATAGTAATTGAAGTAGTTGTATATTTCTGTGTAGCCTAGGGTTGTTCTGAGTCACCAATTAAAGAGTGTTATCATGTTATTGTAGTTGCAGTCTATGGATCTGGCTTGTGTTATCTTCTACTCATTGATCTAAGTTGTATGCAGGTATGAATCAAGTCGGATCTGAAGATATCTAACAGCTAGAGCCTGGATGGAAGCATCATCTAACCAACCCTATTACTGGAGGCCTACGCAGAACCTAAATCTATACTCGGGTGACGTAAGCCAAGGAAGCCAGTTTTCCAACAATTCTACTTCTTCAGTCAGCTTCTCCACAAATGGCAGCCCCGTATCGGTATCACTGCAGGAGTCTCACCCAGACACCGACTATAACTCTCAGGACGTGGACGATTTGCAGTTGAGGCTCAGAGAACTAGAAACTGTTATGCTGGGAACCGATGAGGATTTTCAAGACTTATTTGATGTTTCTTCTGCTTTGACTGCTGCTACTACTTGGCGTGATGATGATTGCAGGACGATGAAAGAGATGATCGATAGAGGAGACCTGAAACAAGTGCTTCTTGCTTGTGCTAAAGCAATAGCAGAAAATGAGTCGATAACTGCGGAGTGGCTGATATCGATGGTACGTCCTTTGGTGTCTGTTTCCGGGGAGCCCACACAGAGATTAGGAGCTTACCTGATGGAAGGGCTGGTGGCGAGACTATCTGCTTCAGGCAGCTTTATCTACAAATCTCTGAGGTGCAAAGAGCCAACGGGGCCTGAGCTCTTCTCTTACATGCACATGTTATACGAAGCATGTCCTTACTTCAAGTTTGGTTATTTGTCTGCAAACGGAGCCATTGCAGAAGCAATGAAGAACGAGGACAGAATCCATATAATCGACTTTCAGATTGCACAGGGCGGACAGTGGGCGACTCTTATCCAGGCTCTTGCAGCTCTGCCGGGTCCCCCAAGGCTAAGAATCACCGGAATCGATGATTCCAGAAACGCGTACGCAAGGGGCGGAGGACTGGAAGTCGTTGGACAGAGACTAACAAAGCTGGCAGAAGCATGTAAACTTCCGTTCGAATTCCATGGATTGCCTGTTTCCGGTTCCGAGATCGAGGCTCGACATTTCAGGATCGACCCGGGGGAGGCATTGGCTGTTAATTGTGCGTTTGTGTTGCACCATTTGCCAGATGAGAGCGTGGATCCTCAGAATCACAGGGACAGAATGTTGAGGCTGATCAAGGGTTTGTCTCCAAAAGTGGTGACTCTTGTTGAGCAAGAAGCTAATGTGAACACTGCGCCATTCTTGCACAGGTTCCAAGAGGCGTTGAGCTACTACTCGGCTATGTTTGAGTCGATTGATGTGACTGTTCCCAGGGATCATAAAGACCGAATCAATGTGGAACAGCATTGTCTTGCTGGTGAGATAGTTAACATAATCGCATGTGAGGGTGCTGAAAGGGAGGAGAGACATGAGCTTCTTGGGAAATGGAGGTCACGTTTTGCTATGGCGGGATTCACTCCGTATCCTCTTAGCTCTTATGTCAATGCCACCATCAAGACCTTGCTAGACAACTACTGTGACAAGTATAGACTTGAGGAGCGAGATGGGGCCCTCTTTCTTGGATGGATGAATCGAGACTTGGTCTCGTCTTGTGCATGGAAATGCAACTTTTAGATCATCTATCTATATTATATATTATATATGTGTTTTGTTTGGTACTTTGGTTTGATAGTGGACTAGTGGGTTGTAGTATATCACACACACAAACACAAACACAAACACGCACCTGTCGAATTACGTTTTGTGGTAATAAAGCTTCCTTCATTGTACTACTTGTAACAAACTTTTACCACAAACAAATAAAGAGTCCAAAAAAATGGAGAATGAAGAATGTATTTTGCAATACACATAAACCTACTAATAAGTATACTAGTGAGTGTTAAGCACCAACTATACCATGTTTACAAAAACTAAATCGTTTAGTTCGTGGAATACGTACATACATTATACATATCTGCTAATGGTTAGTTATTGCCTCCAATTCCCAAACATACACACAAGGTAAGGCTCTGAAAAAAGCAAAAAGCAGCCAAGGCAAGTGTCATGGTCCCAACAGTATTCTCCCAATGTTTTGCGGATATGAATTAGAAGAATCATAGTTATTATGATGGGGATGGGGTTCAACCTCATTCTCCCTAGATCGATAGACACCACCCCCATAGGCATAGCATGCCAATTGAGGTTTGTAATCAGTAGAATTAACCACAAGATCAAGGGATACACCAATACCAACATCCTCCTCTGCTCTTGTATTCCTTAGATTCCCAACAACATCATGACTTCCATTCCTTGCAATAGGCACATCATGATCGTGTTTCCCTTCATATGTGGTGATCACTGCTTTCGGGTCATGGGATGCCCTTTCTACATGTTTCCTAACCTGACATCCACCGCTTGTGCACTTGTAGTAACTCCTAACATAAAAAAAATATATGTATATATATAAGTTATCAACCAAGCAACATTAAACAACAGCAAAACACTCACACACCTGGGATTAGGATTACCCCGCACAACTTTTTGGCCATACTTACGCCAACGGTATCCATCGTCCAATATGTCAACCTCGCTTATGGTTTGGACAACCACACGTGGCTCACGGATAGGCTTAACCACCGGGGTTACATCATAATCCATTCGCCTGAGAATTGATACAAAATCACTCAATATGTATATATTATTTTAACCAATATACTCACAAGTCACAATGTTATTACCTCCTTTTTGGATACGGATCATCATCTTCATCATCCTCATCACGAGTGTTGTTCTCATCCACTTGAGTTCCACTGGTGTCCGAGTTATTATTATTATTATTATTATTATTATTATTATTATTTGCTTTTGCTGAAAGGCCTTCGACAATAAAGGTCTAATCAGGATTCAGGAGGAAAGGAAGCAGCATCCACATTGGATATGAAGAAGAAGAAGAAGAAAATGCAAAAGTTACTCATCTGGTTACCTGGTTGAGGTTGACCAGTTATGGCCATAGATGATACTTTATCAGTAGCATTATGACGATCCTCCTCTTGTATAAGTATTGATGATGGATTGAGGCGACGGGTAGGCTGAGGTTTGGGATGATCATGTGTACCCTTATACACAATCTCTGTGATTTTCCCAGTATAACAAGATCGTTCAAAGATCTTCTTCACTTCACAGTTGGGATGAGTACACTTATAATAGCTTCTAGGAAATTCACTTCCTTTCACCACTTTCTGACCATACTTTCGCCAATTATATCCATCATGATCATCACCTGCAACCTTATGCCCCTCCCCCTCCACCCCATTTGCTAATGTTTCCTCTTCATTTGGTGCTGCATATAACTGATACTGACTTCTGTCTTTATTTGGTACACTGCTTCTCTGGATGTTGTAACCTGCAGAAACCTTTCATGTAACCAGTATTATAATTTATAAATCACTCACTCCCACTCTTTTACAAACACCAAAATCGCCTAAAACCACATCCAATAAGTGCAAGAAAGTGAATATACCTCAAGTCCTAGAGAAGACGATCCAGTCTGTGGCTTAAATTCAAAGAAGCTGCAGTTACTGTCATCCAAGGACTTGCTACCAGAATAGTTGCCATTCAAGGAGAAAGCTGCAGAGCTGCTTAATCTTTGCACTGGTTGACTCTTAAAAAAAGAACCGGTGGTTGGAGAAGGCTCTGCCTACAAGATAAACACATACTCATCATCAAAAGGTTCAAGTATAGTTATACAACACATTAGCTGTTTGTAGAGATTACCCTAAACAATAGTGCACAATAAGCAAAATAAATGAAACAACAACGACAATAACAAATGAAGCTTGCAACCACAATGGATGAATACATAATCTAGAAAAGCTTTGGGAGAAGCTCGTTGCTTTCATGAATGATGATGGAGTTTATTTCTGTATTAACATACTCACTAGTCGGGTAAAATTATCCCACAAAAACTAGTAGGGCAACCAATCGCCTTACATTGTATTGTAGTATGGTACAAAGGAAGCTCCCAAACTATCTGGAAGAGGGAGTAGAAAACAAAAAGAAATCTAAGAATAGCCGGATCCATATCAAAGTTTACAACTTGAATATTACCTTAACGTTGGTGAGGAGGACGGGGGATTCGAGGAAGGAGGTAGGGCTGAGACCTGGAGGGATGGTGATGCAGGAGGACCTTGAGATGGGAAGTTTAGCAGGTGACATGAGCTTATACCTAGCACCACCACCACCACCAGTGTTTGTATTTGTGGAGGAGTTGCAGGCGTCTTCGTCTTCCATGACTGAAGGCTACGATCAGATTCTAGGTCAGCTAAGAGCAGCAGCAGCAGCACAAGGAAGAACAAGGAGCTTTCACTTTCAGATTCAGTGGACGAAGAGGAAACGGCGTTTACGGACATTTCACACACTTAACGGAGATGACACGTACAAATTTATGCTTCCTTCAATAACCATTTTGTTTATTCTTTACGAATTTCATTTTATTTTTCTCTCTTCATAAAATGTAAGAAAAAAATACATTAATTTTAGACAAAATTTCATAAATGGTCTTAGTATTTTTCAAAATTTTCCCTAAAATAGTCCTTATGAAACCTTTTCTACATGGATAGTCCTTTTCGAGCAAACTTTGCACGTAAACAGTTTTTATCGTGGACGTTCGTTTATAAGTGTCGTTACCATGCCCCGTGTGCTTTATGCATGAGGGCATTTTCGTCATTTCATCTGTGGTCCTCTCCTAACATTAACGTGGCAGAGGGGTTGAGTTTCAGACAGTAATAATCATTATCCCTCCCTCTATTGCCCCAAGAAAACTCTTGATCACCCCTCTTCTTCACGACATTGTGTAGATTCTCACTTCATCGGCTCCAGAGTAAGTGATTCTAGGGTTTCGACAAGAATGGTGCTCACTTTGTAGATCTTACGTCTACGAGATTCTCAATCATGTGACATACATAAAGAGTATTATACATAACCTTGAAATGTTAAGGTTGACCAAATGATTTTTGTATTCGTTATCCATTGTTATCTATAACATCTATTTCTTGAACATCCATCTCAGGTTTTGTAGCAAGCTTTTGCACATTCAAGATAAACCATGGGGTTTGGTTCACCAATAGGCTTCCCGGAAGGTTATACATGGAAGGGCTAGTGGATCATCTTGATTTTGTGGACATGGATGTGTTTTCAGACCATGAATTGATATGATGGCGGTTTAAAGGTGCAATGATGGAGGTATAATTTTCAACCATTTCATGATCCTATATACATACTTGGATAGTGGGTTGCTACCACTTGGTATTAATCAAGAAGTAATTCATTTGGCAAGGTATGTGCTTGATCAAAATGATATTTATTCGTACATTGAGCATGTGAGCATGAGAATAGTCTCATACTTTAAGTCCCCATTAAAGGTTCATATTGAGGAACTTAAAGGGGATGCTTCTCCTTAATTGAATAGAGTTAGAATCTAAAGAAAAAAAATTGGTTTATGTAGTAGGAAGTTGGAATTAAATGAACCAATTGATGCCTTAAAGTCCATTGTACATTATAAAGACTTAGTTGGTTCATATAGTACAATCAACCATAAAGACTTAGTTGATGAATTGAGGTTTTTAATCAGTAGAATTCAGTAAGATGTTGCCAACCACAAGATCAAGGGATACACCAATACTAACATCTTCCTTGTAACAACCTAAATTCTTAATAAAAATTTTCATTTTTAATTAAGAGATTCATTATAAAATTCCAATCACAATTGTTTTCAAAATCCATAACATCAGATAAATTATTCATAAAATCAGAGTGTCCCCAAACAAAACGCTAGAGAGTGCATGTCGCGTCATTACGACAGGCTCTTGCCCTTAGATCCTAAAGTACCTGAAACAACCAACAAACTGTAAGCTAACGCTTAGTGAGTTCCCCATAACATACCCCACCCAATCCATATAATCACATAAAACATATCAGCCATATAAGCCACATAAGCCATACATACAAACATATAAGGACGCCCTGGAAACCCTCCAGGGTCTTACTCCGGGTGCCATGGGAACCCCATGGTCTTAGCCCAATGCCTCGGGAACCCCTCGAGGTCTAGACTAAGGATGCCATGGAAACCCTCCAAGGTCTTACACCATAGTGCATCGGGAACCCCCCGAAGTCTTTACTTAGGATTCCATGGAAACCTTCTAAGGTCTTACACCCAAGTGCCTTGGGAACCCCCCGAGGTCTTTCATGCAAGTATCGCAAAACAACTAACATACCACATAGCATATAACCAACTAGTATACCACATATCACTACATCAACTAGTGTAATACATATCACAAAATGGGCCGGCCTTAGTGCCTTCGACCCATTGGTATGGTGAGGAGACTCACCTCTGTCTGCTGAACTCGAAAGTTGCTCGCCTAACAGTCTAAAACCACCCATGCTGAACAATAATGCCATTAACCCAAAATTAGGATTAAGTACAATCTAATTAAAGAGCCCAGTTACCTAAGCCCAAATCCTTCCATAATGGGCCAAGAGTCTTTCCTTTGCGAATGGGCCCAAAGTCCATTTCCAAAGCTATTAATGGGCCACATGGCCCAATAAGGCTCAACCAAAGCAACCATGGCCCAAAACAGATTAATCGGGCCGCTAACCCCAAAATATGACCAGGCCCAAAACAGATTAAGGCCCAAAGGGCTTACAAGCCCACACGAAGCCCAAAACCCACTGGAGTGCGTACGCCCAGTGTACCACTCCAGTACGCTCAACGTACTAGCGCCTTAGTCAGTACGCGTTGCGTACATGCTGCTACGCACGGCGTACAAGTCAGACATGCACAATGACCATTAAGCTCTTAATGTGTAACATCCCAAAAATACAGGCCAAAAATTTCATTTTTAAATACGTTATTATAAAACCAACAGTATAATAAAACATCCATAATATCATGTCATGTCAAAACCAAAGTAGAAATAATCAAAACATGTTATCATAAAACAATATCAGAGTGTAATCCCAAAGATGTCATGTGCGGAAAACCATAGTGTGATGCGATGCGATCAAACCGTCTCCTTTCCTTAAAAAAACGAGTACCTGAAACCAAAACTATAAACGTAAGCACGAAGCTTAGTGAGTTCCCCCATCATACCACATACCATACAATCATATGACATAAATACTCCCAGACATATCTGGGTGCCCGACCGACCCCTTCGGTCCTCTCGACCGGTGACCTTGCCTATCATATCTGGGTGTTGGCCTACCCCTTCGGTCCTCTCGACCGGTGACCTTGCCTAGCATATCTGGGTGCTGGCCTACCCCTTCGGTCCTCTCGACCGGTAACTGGGGACTATTTCACCCCTACTACTACCACATAATATCATATCATATATATCATAATCTGTCTAGCATAGCTGGGTACTAATCTACCCCTTCGATCCTATCGACCGGTAACCGGGGACTATTTCACCCGCTACTACTACCACTATCACATAACATCATATCATGCTAGCACATAAAACATAACAGGTAGCAGCAAACCTAGATGAATATCACAAAGACAATCATCTAACATACAACTCCTACTAGTGGGCCGACATTGTGGCCGTAGACCCACCGCTACTGGAAGGTAACTCACCTCACACTGCTGAAGTCCCGAAGACACAACCCCAGCTGTTGGATGACAGAATCCCGATCCATATAAACACCCACAGCCACCACCCACGGTGGCTGGTGGCGGCGGAATAAGGAAGAAATGGCAGCGGCGCGTGATTCCTTTCAGCTCTTCAGCTCCGCCATCCTTCAACCGGCTCGCCGGTCCTTCAATCATTGGCATCTCCGGCAACGACGATGTAACATTACTAGCTGCAACAGCAGCGGTTGGCTGCGACGCCCGACAGTCCTAGCGACATTTGCAGCGTGGCGGAATGCGAGATAGGAGAAGAAGAAGGAGGGGAATGTTCGAGATCGACAACAACACTGCCGAGGCGGCAGGCGGCGGTTGCTCGGGACTGCATCTGGTCGGAAAGCATGAGGGAAGCTTGGAGTGGTGGCGGCTGTGAATCCTTAGGATTAGGGTTTGAATGGAAAGGGTGGCGGGTTATAAATCCCGACCACTCAACATCTTTTGTAAAAATTACACTTCTGGCCCCTCCCTAAAGCATCTTATCAAATGTAATCCAAATTTTACCCTTTCTACCCTGGCTTTGGAAATCTTCAAATTAACTCCGATAATTACCATCTAAACCCTCAACATTAAAATCCTTTACATCTTAGGTACAAAATTTACCAAACAGCCCCCAATATTTTAATTATGACATAATCAGCCCTTCAACCTCATTTCCTTTTAAATTAATTCCAAATAATTACCACAGAGCCCCCTGTCTTCATAAATAATTATAAACTGAGTCTGGAACTTACACTTTTAACCCTCAACTTCTAAATTATGCCAATTAGCTCTTCGAGACCATCCTTTGATATATAATTATTTATTTTAGGGCTACCGATCGTTCATTAATTAATTAATTTATTTAATAAATAAACGGGGTGTTACATAATGCTTGGAATATTAACGTCAAGCGTTAGATTTGAGTCCATTAAGACGTTCTAAGGCATAAAGTTGGCAACTTTATGCCCTTGCATGTTCAATATGTTCCCAACAACCCCTTATAACCCATTAAGACCTTTCCAAGGGTCTTAACTCATGCATGAGGTCAAAACACTCATCAGGACTACATTTTTATGGTATGAATGAATTAAAGGACCTCAGATCTACTCTTCCTAAGCTCTAGAGTTGCTCAAACTCCCAATAGATGATCCATGAACACAAATGGGACAACATAGCAAACCCTAGCTCAATCTAATGAATAATATGACAAGATTAAAACTTTATACCTCCAGAAGCTCGTCAAGGTGAACTGGATGCAGGATCTTGAAGCCTAATACCACCCCAAGCTTGCTTACTAACTTCTTCTTGAATAATCACTAAAATGGCCACAAATACACTCTTTAAGCTCAAGAACACTCTCACAGGGGAAATATGGGGTAAAAGGGTGAAATGAGGCTATGGAGGCTGATTAGGGTTTGGTCCAAGAGGCTTAAGGATGTTTTAATAGGTGTCAAGTCCGAGAATTAGGGTTTTGCTCTTCTGTCGCGTATGCCCCGCGTACGCGGCCACCCCCTGCGATCAATCATCCTTAGTACGCTAAGCGTACTCCTGGAGTATGCCCTGCGTACTAAGGGACCATTATGCTATATTTTTCATTTCAAGGGTTCAAATGGTAGTTACCTGATTTGGAGTGTTAAAAATCTCCCCCACTTGAACTAGACTTCGTCTTCAAAGTCCGCAGACGCAAACAGATCTGAGTAATTCTCCCGCATCTCATCTTCCGGCTCTCATGTCCATTCGGAGCCTCTTCGGTGCTGCC